AAACAGGTGAGCGGCTTTTTGTCGCCTCGGCGAGATAGTCTGACGCGCGGGTGTCGACATCAAAGGTATTTGTCGACCACCAAAGTAAACCTCATCCCAGGAGGCATACCTGGGTGGTCGACAAATACCTTTGATGTCGACACCCGCGCGTCCAGACTATGGCGCTGATCAGCTGTTTGTCGGCTCAGCACAGCAGCCATGTAAATTTAAATGAAGCGGCGATTATTTAAATCACCGCTTTATTTTCCTATGTCTGGTAGCCTAATCTACACGCCTCTGGCGACAGAAGCATGTAGTCTAGACGTACCCATGGATACAACAAATACAGCTGCAGATATAATACTCAACCTTCATAGCATGGTCCAAGAAGTCACCTGCTGGAACTTGCTTTTCCCTGCTGACACAACTGATAATGTCTTGCATTCTGTTCCAAGACAGCAGGCTTTCAACTGGGCCTTTTATAACAGGGCTCCACTGCCAAAAAGTAGTGACACTGGAGGCACTAGAATTCATGACAAGCTATCCAAACTCCTCAGTGTTGACACTGTCAATTCTTTTTTGACATTCTTCAGAATCAGCTACAGCTACATCCAGTAAGCTTCTTAGTAGAAAACTGACCTGGTAACATCTTGGAGTAGTATGCACTACTTCTTAACCAGTTTAGAAACTGGAACAACAGGAAAAGCATGGCAGACATTTCACTTCACCAATTGCCCCAAAGCAGCATGTAAAAGCATTACAATTAAACAGGAGGTCCTGGTCCAGACATCTAGTGATTGCGGCAAGTGTACACCCATAAACTGATAGTAACTCATTCCTGACAACCAGTGTTCCCTGTAAGTTGTGCACTTGCTCAGGAAAGAATCCCATCCCATGATTACTGAGCCAACAGCTGAGTGTGTGTTTCTACTGATGGTGCACGTAAAACATTTACTCTGCACATTGATGGGAAAAGCCTGAACATGGATGGAAAAGATTAGAGAGAACATTGCTGACAACGTATCCACCTTTTTAAGAATCTGAAGAAAAGTCAGATCCTCGCATGAAGAATTACTGCAATACCTGCTCCTTGAGTGGAGATATAATTGACATCAATAGAGAATGGCCAGTTCACCAGTGTCCCACAGACAACAATATTCTTCCTGACCATCAGTTTCTTCTCACTCAGATGGCTGATCATAGTGAGGTGATGGAGGAGCCTCCAACACTGACAGGTGGATGTCAAGTTCTTTTAAGGAAGAATCACAAACCCCATTCTTAATTACCATTTGGTTTTTTTTTCAATCTATAGCAAAACTCCTACTGGAAACAGTGAGGCCTGCACAAATATAAAAGAATTTGGCATAAGAACTTAAGAACAGCCATACAGGGTGAGATGAAAGGTTCCTTTAGGTCCGTCTAGCCCAGTATCCTGTCTTCCAGCAATGGCCAAAGCTAGATACGCCAGAGAGAGTGAACAGAACAGGCAATCACCAAGTGATCCCTCTCCAACAGCCCATTTCGAGCTTCTGACAAACAGAAGCTAAGGACACCATTCCTACCCATCCTGGCTAATAACCATTGATGGACCTTTCCTTCATAAATCTATCTAGTTCTTTTTTGAACCCTGTGAAAGTCCTAGTCTTCACAACATCCTCTGGCAAGGAGTTCTACAGGTTCACTATGAGTTGTGTGAAGAAATACTTCCTTTTGTTCATTTTAAACCTGCTAATTATTAATTTCATTTGGTGCCCCCTGAGTTCTTCTGTTATGGGAAAAAGTAAATACTTTTTAAAAGGTAATAACTAAAACTCTTACATTACTTATTATTTCTTCAGTACACAGTTGTCATTCAGCACCACATTGGGGGGTAGAATCACTGATACTTTTGCTCTTTGTTTTTCCTCCATCCCCATCCTCTCCTGTCCATATCTTCTCCACCTTCTCTCAGTATTTTGTTTCTGTTTCTTGTCCGTTACAAGTGATTTCAGCTACTGTGGCAGTTGGGATTGTGTGACTGTGAGTGTTTGATCTTTTGCTCCCTTGATTCCTTTTGATCAGCCTCACTCAGCTTTGGGATCAGCCTCACCCTGTGTGGCTAACCAAGCGGTAGGCAGGCTTTAAAAGCCAGAGGCAGAGCAACCAAGGGAGCGAAACACACAGGGGGCTGCAGAAGAAGTTTGAGAGGGAGATCTAATATGGCTAGGAAGAACCACAACACCTGTGCCAGCACTGTTTTTGTCTCCTCGACCTGCGCCTGCAGCCAGACAGACCACCTTGCCATGAATGCCTCTACCCAGATCCTGGTGTGTTTTTGCAGGAGCTGTAGCTTGCAATTCCCACTTACTGAAATCCAGGCTGGGGAGATCATCTAATGTGAAATGTGCCTGCTGATGGAAGCTCTGAAGAGGCAGGTGGGAGAGCTACAGGAAGAGGTGGCTTAAGCTGAGGTACATCCAAATTCACAAGGAATTCCTGGAGAGTATTCATGTGGAGACTGCTGAGAAAGCTATCCCATTACAAAAGACTGATGACAAAAGACTGGTAGAGGAGGAGATGGCTCACTCTCAGGGGGGACACTGACAGCTAGTCATTTCTGGCAGCAGGCAGTGCTTCACCCCTGCTCCCAACCCTCCCACAGTGGTTCTGAAGAACCATTATGCTATTCTGGATATGGGAGATCAGGAATCACACTCTAAAGCAGAAGAGAAGAATTGTACCCCCAAGGTTGGGAGATCTGCAGCCACCACTATGAGGAGGAAACAGAGTAGTGGTGGTGGGAATCTCCCTTCTGAGGGGGACAAAGGCACCCATCTATCACCCTAACATGTCCTTTTGGGAAGTATGCTGCCTGCCAGGGGCCTGTATCAGAGATGTTACAGAGGCATTGTCGAGGATTATTCAGCCTTCTGACTACTATCCCATGCTACACATTCGTGTGGGCACAAATGATACTGCAGAGTGTGGCCTTGAGTGGATCAAGAGCTACTACAGGCCTCTGGGAGTACGGATGAAGGAATTTGGAGCACAGGTGGTATTCTCTTCAGTCCTTCCTGTCAAAGGTAGATGCCTAGGCAGAGACAGGTTCATCCTGGAGGTGAATGTCTGGCTGCGAAAATGACATTGTCAGGAGGACTTTGGCTTTCTTGACCACGGGATACTGTTCCAAGAGGGGAGGACTGCTAAGCAAGGATGGGGTTCAACTTTCAAGGAAGGGGAAGATAGTATTTGGATTCAGACTGGCTAACCTAGTGATGAGGGCTTTAAACTAGGTTTGATGGGGGTAGGTGACCAAAGTCTACAAGTAAGTGAAAAACATGGAGACCTGGGAGATGGCTCAGAAATGGAAGGGACCATGGGCTGTAATATCAGAGATAAAGGAGGGACAAGGCAGAACTGGGGGGCAAAATCTAATCAGTATTTTAGATGCCTATATACAAATGCAAGAAGTATGTGGAAGAAGCAGGAAGAACCTGAAGTGCTAATAAACAAACATAGCTATGACGTAGTTGGTATCACAGAGACTTGGTGGGATAATACACACGATTGAAATAGTGGTGTAGAAGAGTACTGCTTGGTCAGGAAGTATAGGCAGGGGAAAAAAGGAGGAGGTGTTGCCTTATATATTAAAAATGTATGCACTTGGACTGAGGTTGAGATGGACATAAGAGGCAGACTCCTTCAGAATCTCTGGGTTAGGTTAAAAGGAGTAAAAAATAAGGATTGCACTTGGACTGAGGTTGAGATGGACATAAGAGGCAGACTCCTTCAGAATCTCTGGGTTAGGTTAAAAGGAGTAAAAAATAAGGATGATGTCATGCTAGATGTCTACTACAGACCACCTATCCAGGCAGAAGAGGTGGATAAGGCTTTTTTTTTTAAAACTAACAAAATCATCCAAAGCGCAGGATTTCGTGGTGATGGGAGACTTCAACTATCCGGACATCTGTTGGGAAACTAACACAGCAGGGCACAGATTATCCAAAAAAATTCTTGGACTGCATTGGAGACAGTTTTTTATTTCGGAAGGTTGAGAAAGCCTCTAAGGGGGAAGCTGTCCTTGATTTGATTTTAACAAATAGGGAAGAATTGGTTCAAAATTTGAAAGCGGAAACCATCTTGGGTGAAAGTGGCCATGAAATCATAGAGTTCGTGATTCTAAGGCAGCAGTTCTCAAACTTTTCAGGCTCTGGAGCCCTTTATATGTGTAAAAATGTATGCAGAGCCCCAGCGGTCCACTGATTGTATGTGTTGTACCTATCGATGTTTCC